ACCCTGGACCCCCCCCAAAAGTTCCAGGACCTCCCCGGAAGACCCTGAAACCCTCCAGACCTGGGGGGGCCCTCGAACTCCCCAGGGGGACCTCGAATCTCCGGGGACCCCGCAAGAACCCCTCGAACCCTCCAGGAACCTCCGAGGAGGGAATCCAGGAAATCTCCAGCCTCCAAGATGGCCCCAGAACGGCCCAAGAGGCCCCCAAGACTGCCCCAGAGGGCCCCAAGACGGCCCACGAGGCCTCGAAGACACCCAAGATAGCCCCCAAGACGGCCCTGGAGCACCCCAAGAGGGCCCCAAGTCGGCCCAGAGAGGCCCTCACGACGGCATCCGACGGCGTCGGACGGGCCAAGAGGCCACCAAGACGGCCCAAGATGGTAGCCCAAGAGGCCCCCCAAGAGGTCTCCAAGACGGCCCAAGAGGCCTCCAAGACGCCCTCCAGGAAGGCCCCAAGAAGCCAAAATCATTGATTGTGCGATGGCTTTTGAAGGATTTGGGCATTTGCGTCTCTTTGGTCCTCCGACGGTCCGAGACGGCCCAAGAGCCCCCAAAGATCGCCCCAAGATCGCCTCCAAGAGGGCCCCAGAACGGCCAAAGAGGCTCCCACGACGGTCCCAAGAGGAGGGGCCCAAGAGGCCTCCAAGTCGCCCAAGATGGCCTCCAAGACGGCCCTGGAGCACCTCAAGAGGGCCCCAAGTCGGCCCAGAGAGGCCCTCAAGACGGCTTCCGACGGCGTCCGACGGGCCAGGAGGCCATCAAGACGGCCCAACATGGCTCGAATATGGCCCAAAGACGGCCCAAGAGGCTCCGAAGAGGTTCTCAAGACTGCCTCAGAGGCCCCCAAGAGTGCCTCCAGGAAAGCCCTGAGCGGCCAAAATCATTGATTGTCCGATGGTTTTCGAAGGATTTGGGCATTTGCTTCTGTTCGGCCTTCCGACGGCCCGAGACGGCCCAAGAGCCCCCAAAGATCGCCCCAAGATCGCCCACGAGGCCTCCAAGAGGGCCCCCGAACGGCCGAAGAGGCCCCCACAACGGTCCCAAGAGGGCGCCAAGACGGCACAAGAGGCCTCCAAGACACCCAAGATGGCCTCCAAAGATGGCCCTGGAGCACCCCAAGAGGGCTCCAAGTCGGCCCAGGAGAGGCCCCTTAGACGGCTTCCGACGGCGTCAGACGGGCCAGGAATGCCTTAAGACAGTCAAGGAGGCCCCTGGAAGCCCCCGAATGGCCCCAAGAGGCCCAAGGAGGCCCCCAAGATACATCCAAAAGGCTCCCAGGAAGCTCCAAGGAGGCCCCCAGAGTGCCCCCAGAGGCTCTCAAATGCCACCCCTCCTCCTCCTCCTCCTCCTCCTCCTCCTCCTCCTCCTCCTCCTCCTCCTTCCGATCTTCCCCGCCATCCTCCCCCAAGCGTTCCCCGAAGTGTTTCTACAAGTGCTGGGGAACACATGGCCCGATACTGTGGCTGAGCTTTTGCCACAACGCTCGGCCACATTGGCGATTCCAAAAGGCAGGGGGCGGCACTGATTCGCCGTACGCGTCTTAGATACAAGCCTGGTGTCTTGATGTTTTGGAGTGTCGGTTCCACTTCGCCAGGGGTTGAACTGTGCCAACGAAACAAAGCTCGGAAGCGAATCTGCTAGACCACGCTAGCACATGTTAGTTCGATATGCTCTGGGCGCGACGTGTGATGAAGGACCCCCCCCCACACGCTGAGAACGATTCTCAACTCCACGTCAGCCCTGGGGTATACCAGTGCTGGGCGACTCTTAATTTCGGCGTGCAGATATCAAACGTTGAAACACAATATTGAAAAAACACGCCCATCGCTCTCTCTTTTGTGGCTGCACCTCTACGATCAGCCCGCACGATCTGTCGACCGTTGTTTGTAAATGAGTGCGCGCGCACGGACATGCGCAAACATAGTACTTCTGATTTCCTGGCGCACCCGATCCAATGACTGCATTCCAACACGGTCCAATCTCGGGACATACATCTGAAACAACACCGTGCCGCTTGCATAATGACGGGAAATTTATCCTAGCCGCCGAAAGCTCCTGGTTGCACATTCATTACATACGATACGCCGAAACACAGATTCACGTCCCAACGTGGTTTGCTGTGACCATGCAATAAGCAGTGGCGTCCATCTGAGTATCCCGACTTTCGGGCGACAGCCTAGCCTATCGGTGTGCCTAGAACTACGCCGCTACAGCTGGCAGCGCCCTGTAGTACCTACTCTGCAGACATCTTTACAAAGGCCGCAGAAGACTCACCGCATGAAGACGCAACCCTGCCTGGCAGAGACCGTTAGGGAAAGCTGAACAACAGGAGGCGAACGAGAAACCACGCTGTGAACCGAAAACGGGTATGGGGTACAGACTAGGCGAGAAAGGCCAACCCAGCGATGAACTCATTAGAAAAGGAAGCAACGCCATAAACATAAACTCTTGGCGCTCCGCGCGGAGTTCTTGGACCTGCGCCAGGGGCGGCGCCGGAGGCGCCGCCGCAGGGGCCCGGCGCGGATCCGAGAAATCTGCGCGGAGTGCCAAAAGTTAATGTTTATGGCGTTTCTTCTTCGAGGAATGGGGCACAGACTGGGCGAGAAAGACCACCCCAGCGGTGAACTCATGCAGTTGCCGGCAGCAGGTCAGAAGGGATAGCGGTCCGCAACTGCGACCACATTTAACTAATGAGCATCCTCGCGCTCCCACTGCGTCCGACCACCGCTACACCCTTTGGCGCCCAAGAACAGCAGAAACACCACTCAGTGGTAGTTGCCTTTCGGTGTGAGCTGCTCTCGACGCGTGCCTTGTCGGATCGAGGCTGTGGCGATCTGACCCTCCCGTGCTGTCAAGGGGAAGGGGCGAATGACCAATGCACATGCCCGAGCCCTGCAGCTGCGGACAAGAGCTAGGGGGCCTGGCCAGGAGACAGAGCTAGAAGAACCACAAGCTGCATTCTCGTATTCTCTCGAATGCCCCTGCGGATTTTCCCGGAATCGAATGACAAGGCCGCAGCAGTTAATTTCCTATTAGTGAGGGAAACATAGAACTCACGTTCTCCGATTCATAGGGAAAAAATAGAAAACACATGTTCCTAGTACTATGGAAAAATAGAAAGCACGCCGACACAAGAATCTCGTGTCCGCGCTAAAACTCCCCCTCCCCGGCGGCCCTCGGCGCGCCGGGGGCGGTGCTGGAGGCGCCGCCAACGGGGGGGAACCAACGCCGACCCGGGAGGTCCGCGCAGACTTCTGCCATTATTTTGTGCTCGTGTCCCTCGTGCCATTATTTTGTGCTCGGGCGCGGTGAGTGACATGCCTCCTGGGGGAACATTGCCGATACCCCAAATGACTACCTACCAGACCACCCCAACCCAACCCGAAGACCCGAATTTCGGGTTGGGGGGGTATGGGCTCCATATGTGTTTTTTCGATGTTCCCGGACCCCCCCCACTAGAAATCGAGGGTAAATCTGAGCCTTCGGGTTGGGTTGGGGTGGTTTGGTGGGTGGTGACAAAATGCCGCTGCTCCCTGGAGCTCTCGTAGGTCGCTCTCTTGTCCGGATCCCGCAGCGAGCCCCCCCCGTGGCGACGAGGGCCCCCCCCGAGAGGGCACAAAGGAGGCGAGACCGACGGACCGGAGAGGGGCATCGGTATTCTTGTCTGCTGCGCGGTGAGCGCCTGCCGAGCCCGCATGCGCGAATGGAGCCGCCGTGGGCGAAGGGGCCCTGGGACACACAACTAAACACACACACAAATAAAAAGATTCCCCATATGTTCCCATATCTTCTGGGTTTTTGTATCCCCCCCTCCACTTCCCATATTTTCCAATTTTTTCGAGGGAATCGACGATTAATTGTGTCTGTGTGTTTTTGTTCCCTCCTGAGTGGGCGGGATCGCGGAGATGACGCGGAGCATGCCGCGGGCGTAACCGCAGGCACGGATCAAGGACCATAGCAACGGCAGAGCCGTGGCGTGACGTCGGCGCTGGCACATGACGCCGCGTGGATCTTTCGACCTTGAGCGATCGCAACGTTCAGATAGGACAGATCGTTCGATATCGGCCGATCACGAGACACTAATGGTGTTCAACCTTGAACTCCCGCGCAGGGGTCGCCGCCGCGTCGACGCGACATACATTTACAGCATTCCCCAATCAGTGTTTGCACTGACCCCTGCAAGCTGTTCGAGGTGTGCAAGCAGAATCAGATGTTCGAGCTGGTCATTCTGAGGGCCGAGCGCCGTGCTTAGCCTCCCTTTGCCTCCCGCTCCCATCCATTGCCTCTCTTGTGCCTCCAGCTGTGGCCGGGGTGAGGGAGGATGGGTGGAGGATGAGGTCGACGATCAAGCTTCCCGCCGCGAACTCATACGCGCTGCAGCGACTGCTCAAGGCAAGCCACTGGTAAAACAGAGCTAGGATCGGGATAAATCGCTCCAGAGCGTTCCGGAGCGCTCTCAGAGCGTTCCGGAACGCTCTGGAGCGGCCGCGGCGCCCAATACATCCTCCAAACCCGCCGATTCTCAGAGATTACGAGTTGTCCCGATCCGATTTTGTCCCGATCCTCGCGTCGTTTGACGACTGCTCAAGGCAAGCCACTGGTGAAAGCTTGGCAGCTCAGTGCCCCTCCGCAGCTTCGCGGCCCCGGTTTTGCGTGCCGGCTGGCCCCTGCCGCGCGCGCCGCTCTCCGGCCCTCGCTTCGCCTCGCGCCGTGGGCCACCGCTCGGTCCCCCTCGTCGTGCAGCCCGGGAGCTGGGGCCGGACGTCAGCCCACGTACACACATATATATATATATACAGTTATATATACACTTATATATATATATATATATATAAACACCGTAACTCAATCAGCTCGGCCTGATACGTCCTCCCTTCCCATGCCGGCGCTCTCTCACGACGATCTTCCTGGCCGCTGCAAGTCGGCAAGAGTCGCTCTCGCTCGGCAATGCCTGATGCCCGGCGGCCAATGACCTCCATCGAGGGCGGCCCCGCCTTGATTCACACCATCTCCTCTTGCTGCTTCCGCCGCATCGCCCACGCCTGGCAAGACAGGTGGCAGATGGCAGGTGTCTCTCCCCTCCTGCCCCCGCCCCAACTTTTTTTCCTGAGCCGTCGCAGGTCGACACCACCGCCCCACGCTGACATGGATCGGCGACTCCAAAGGGTGTGGTTTGCAAAGGGTGTGGTTTGCAATCGGCACCCTGGAAGCACCATGAGGGGCGGGCGGGTACCTCGATAGAGTTCTCGCCCGCGCCCCGAGGAGGCCCGACGAGGACAGTGTCGAGCCCTCCAGGCCCCCACGGCGCCGATCGCAAACCACACCCTGGCGTAAGCACACCATTTGTAGTCGCCAAATGGAGTAAAAGATACGATCGAAGGGCACATGCGGCGGGAGGAGCAGACAGCAGCTCGGGCGGGCGCGGCGCATGGGGCACGCGGGCGGACGCCGGGCTGGAGGCCAGCCCCAGGAAGTCTGACGCGCTTCTGGGCGGGGGGGGTGGTGCGGTGCCCCGGTCCTGCCACGTCGGACCGTCTCCGGCCAGCCACAAGTGGGGGAGCTGTGTTCCTTAACCTCCATGGAGGAACCCATCGAGAGGGGTGTCGAATCCGATGGGTCCCGCATGGGTGTAAGGAGCACGGCTCCCCCAGTCGTTGCTCGTCTGCCTCACCCCCCCCGAGGGCCCCCCCCCCACGTGCTCTGGCCACCGTAAATCGCTCTCGTCCCTCGCCCTGCCCCGTCGTCGGCACTCCGGGCTGCGCTCGTCTCAACGGCCGCCGACCACCGCCGCGTCAATGGTGTCGACGCGCGTGCGCGTCGGTCAAGCCTTCAGAGGAGGAGGAGGAGGAGGAGGAGGAGGAGGAGGAGGAGGAGGAGGAGGAGGAGAAGGAGGAGAATGAGGATGAGGAGGAGGAGAATGGTTGGACACTGCTCGGGGATCGTCATGCCGATTTGAATTCAAAGGCTAACGAGCGGGCCCCTAGGACTCCGACTCTCGCCGAGCTCTGGTCTCGATCACTCGGGCCCCGAGCTGCTGGGCCGAAAGCACTGTGAGCAGAATGGAGGTGCGCACGCCTTCCTGGACGGGCCTCCTCGGGCCAGGAGGAGGAGGAGGAGGAGGAGGAGGAGGAGGAGGAGGAGGAGGAGGAGGAGGAGGAGGAGGAGCTGCAACAGCAGACACAGCAGCAATAGGAAGCTACAGGCCGGCTCTGCGCAGCCGGTCTGGGGGGCCCCTGCCCCGGCGCTCCGCGGGCGAGAGGGCCGGGCTGGCGCCCTCCGTGCGTCCGCCCAGGCGAGGGGGGGGGGGGCACAGCACAGCACAACGCCACCAATCGATCCTCTGGATGCGTGGGCCTCTGAATGTGTGGGTACACGGGCGCATAGACATCTGGGCATGTGGACTTCTGGGCGGTATGGTTCTCTGGATGTATGAACTCTGCGTGTGCAGTCGGGGCGTTGACCTAAGGAACCCTAAATAAGGAACGGGGCCCCTTGTTCCCATAAGTTACGTTTGATTTCCCATGGGACACGAAAGGAACACACAAGGCAAACTGTACAGCAATCAAGGAACACCGAGCCCCTCCTCAACGAAAAGGGTTCCTTCTTCAGCGCCCCGACTGTATGGATCTCTGGAAGTATGGATGTATGGATAAGTTGTTGTATGGATGCGTGGATGTCTGCGTTTCGGGATGTATGTCTCGTGATGTACGGATGTCTTGACGCGTGGACGTCTGGATGTGTGGACATCTGGGTGCGTAGGCCCCAGATTGCATGGCTATGCATGCTGATCTCTCTCTCTATATATATATATATATATATATGTGTATGGTCGCCCCCCCCCTATGATCTACCTCAGCTTCTTTGCGGCCTTGACTTCCACTCGGAGGCACTCGGGGGAGCGGGAGGGCGGGCGGGCGGTAGAGCGGGTGAGCGGGAGAACAGGAGGGCGGGAGAGCAGGTGAGCGGGAGAGCGGGAGGGCCGGCGGGCGGGACAGCGGGAGAGCGGGAGAGCGGTGAATAGATACCTACATGTATGAGGTATGGGTATCTAGGTGTGTAGATACCTACATGTATGAGACACCCACGCAGACGACACATGCGATGCCGATCGCGATGGTAGTTCAGAGCCTTCTCCTCCTCCTCCTCCTCCTCCTCTTCCTCCTCCTGCTCCTCCTCCTGCCCCCTCTACTCCTCCTCCTCTTCCTCCTCCTCCTCCTCCTCCTCCTTCTCCTCCTCCTCCTCCTCCTCCCTTCTCCCTATTATCCTCCTCCTTCTCCTCATGCTACTCCCCTTCGTCCGAGCCCTCTTCCTCTTCCCTCCTCCTCCTCCTCCTCCTCCTCCTCCTCCTCCTCCCTCATCTTGCCCTCTGGTATGTTCAGGCGTGGTGGAATGGCAAGTTGCCAAGAGCTGTCTGGTTGGGCATCTGTCAGGTCTTCTGAGGGAGCCCCCCTCTCCTCGCACTTCACTGCATGCACCTCCGGAATCCCGAGACATGCCCGAGACTCCTGAGGAATGCGGATGGATCGCGAGAAATCCCCCGGAATCTTGAGAAGCGAATCCTGGGGGTTCCGCAGCTGGAGCAGTCCTGGCTCTATTGCCGCAGCCAGCCGTCGCGGGTGGGCACACCAAAGAAACGCCCCGCACCCGCTCGCAGCCAATACATCCGGGAGAGTCCGGGGGAATCCTGAAAAATCCTTGGGAACCTGATGCAATCCTTTATCCTATGACAATTTCTGAAGGGGTCCTCGAGAATCCTCCGGATTTCAAGTGAATGTTTTCGGGCAATCCTAAGATGTGCTCTGGAATCCTGAGGTATCCATTGAGAAAGACAGTGTGTTGGAAGGAAGGGATTGGGAGAATACAGGGCATGATCAAAAACATCTGGATGCAATGAACGATACCTTCGGCCGCCTGCGTCTAGCGAAAGGGGAAATGTGTTGTCACCGCAGCGCATGAGCCGCCAATCCAACACCGCGAAGGCTTCCTAAGAAGCGGGCTGCAACCGGCAACCAACTTCGTGGCCCTCTCTGGCCATCCTGGATCCCCGAGAACTTCCCAAGAGGCAGGTTGCACCCTGCAGCCTACTCCGTGGCCCTCTCGGGGCCCCCTTGGAGCCCTGCCGGGGCCTCCGGTGGGGCCGTCCGAGAGCCCTCTTGTGTGTGTGTGGTGTGCGTGTGTGTGTGTGTGTGCGTGTGTGTGTGTGTGTGTGTGTGTGTGTGTGTGTGTGTGTGTGTGTGTGTGTGTGTGTGTGTGTGTGTGTGTGTGTGTGTGTGTGTGTGTGTGTGTGTGTGTGTGTGTGTGTGTGCGTGCGTGAGTGTGTGTGTGTGTGTGTGTGTGTGTGTGTGTGCGTGTGTGTGTGTGTGTGTGTGTGTGTGTGCGTGTGTGTGTCTGTGTCTGTGTCTGTGTCTGTGTGTGTGTGTGTGTTCTGGACCCTCTCAGAGCCATCTTGGACCATGCCGGGTGCTGAAGCCATGCGGCGAACACCGGAGGCGGACCAAGGGCACGAACGAGCAGGGCCGAACCGCGCGGAGGACCACGGTGCCGGCGCACGCCTCGCTTCGCCCTCGAGGCCGCGTGGCCCGGGCGCGCGCTCTGCCCTGCAGCGCCCTCCCCGGGCTCCTCCTGCGCCGCCTGCCAGGCCTGCCCCGCGCGCCCCGCCCACAACCAGCCTCGAGCGTACCCCTATCCCTGAGATGGGCGAGCAAAAAAAGCGAGGACAATCTTGGGGATAGGCCCTCAGAAACTGAGGGAACCCTGAAGATCGGCATCGAGGTGAAGTGATGCCAAACATAGGGATAGGGATATGTTTCAAACTGGTAACCTGCGCAGCCCAGCAGGACCGGGCGGGCAGCGAGCTCCTGCAAGGAGCGCTCGTCCAACCTGCCGAGAAGCCCGCTCGTCACCTCCGGCGCCGTGTCGGGCTCGGCTCCCCGCTCGGCACGGCGCTGTGGCCACGTGGGCCGGCCCTGCAACGGCGGCCGAGTGCCCCTGTGGGCAGGCGCAGGGGGCGTGCGAGCGGTCGCCATCGAATCTCGGTCAGCGAGCGGATCGCCAAGATCGCAATCGGGCACGCCGAGTCTGGACGGCTGGCGGGGACGCGCAAACCGCAGAGCCGAGGCGAGGGGAGATGCACTCGGGCCCAAGCTGTCCGAGCCTTGCTGCGGAGTGTCGCCGGGAGCCCTCCAGACTCGGGCGGAAACGTGTGGAATCCTTCTCGATCCTGAGGGATCTTCTGGAATCCTGAGTAACCCTAGGGAGTCTTGGGGAACTCTGAGGAGCCCTGGGGAGCCATGAGGACTCATCAAGAAACCTCAGGCATCCGTTTGGAACCCGCCGCAGTCCCGAGGAACCATCGGGAACCCCGAGGGATCATAAAGGGGCACAAGACCAACAAAAAAAAAAACAGGGGCCCCTGCGGGGCTCGGCAGGGGCCCCTGAATTGTGCCGCTCCCGCCCCACGCCCCCTCCTCCGGCACCCCGGGGGCGCCCGCCCCGCCCACGCCCCCCGGGGGAACGCCAGTGGGGCCAGCGGGGGGGCCGAGGCCTGCATGCATGGCAGACAAAAGCCCGCCCGAGCGGTCCAACATCTCGGGAACATCATTAGATGAAGAGGGAACTATGCACATACACCGATTCTGGCTAGGCCCGGTGCATACGCCCGCTACCTTGGCCAGGAAGGTCTATGCCCGATCCTGGGTCGAGGACGGGCCTCGCCAGGATCGGTGCACGTGTATAGTTAGTTCTCTTCGCCCGACATCAGCCGGCAGACGCAACACCTCTCTCCTTTCGGGGAGACGTAAGACTCGGGTGCGGGGGACTCGGGTTGGGCCCGATGGGGCCATCATAAAAATTACCCCAGTGCGACCCTACCTAGAAGTTGGAACCCCTAGGAAAGCAGCATTAGTTGCTATGCTATGCTATGCTATGCCATGCCATGCTATGCTATGCTGCGCTATGCTATGCGATGCTATGCGATGCTATGCTATGCTGTGCGGGGGCTCCGGTCCGGCCATCGAGGCTAGCTCGGCATCTGTCGCACACTGCTTTTGCTTTGCCTTTCCTTTGCTTTGCGTTTGCTTTTGCTTTGCTTTGCTTTGCGTTGCTTGTGCTTTGCTTTGCTGTCGCTGCTGTTGCTTTGCTTTTCCTTTGCTGCTGTGCTATGCTATGCTCTGCTCTGCTATGCTATGCTATGCTGCGCTGTGCTATGCTGTGTTGTGCTGTGCTGCGCTATGCTATGCTATGCTGCGCTATGCTATGCTATGCTGGGCTATGCTATGCTATGCTATGCTGTGCTGCGCTATGCTACGCTATGCTATGCTATGCTGTGCTATGCTATGCTAAAGCTCAGCGAAGCTAAGATGAAGGTAAGCTAAGCTAAGATAATCCTGAACTAAGATGAAGCTAAGCTAAACTAAGATGGCATAAGCTAAGCTAAGATGAGATAAGCAACGCCAAGCTAAGGGGACGTAACTGGGGGAACCGCGGGGCGGATGCCGGGGGAACCGCCCGGGCCGGTTCCCACTGCCCGGCCCTTTAAGCAAACCGAGTAAGAACCCTTCTAGGCAGAGCCGAGGTAGGGAATGACGAGGCCCAATCTGAAAATTGACGCGGGCTCCCGCTGCAAACATCCCACGAAACCTGGACCGTCAAACTCCAGGACGCGCTCGCCCAAAAAAACGTCGGCAAACCCGAGCTCCGGCTGACTCGAGTCTTACGTTTCCCCGATCCTTGGCGGCTGCCAAATCGGACCCCCAGCGATCTGGCTCGCGCAATACCGCTCCCGCCCAGCTGACTGCGCACATCGGATCCTTAGTGCTCCGTTTAGCGGGGAACAGCTCCCGCCCTAGCTAGCTGCCAAATCGGACCCTCCGCGGTCCGATGTTCGCAATGCAGCTCTGGCCCAAGTGATTGCGCAAATCTGAGCCTGAGTGCTCCGTTCGGCGGCGAACACCTCCCGCCCAACCTGGGTCCGATCGCTGGGGGCCCGCCGCCGCCTCGTCACGGGCGGCTCCCGGCAGGCAGCCGGCGGCTTGGACCGCGGAGGGCCGGTGGAGCAGCGGGTGCCGCCCCCGCTCTTTGTGGAGCCGCCGTGGGCCTCTCTGGCCGCTGGCAGTGGCCAAGAGAACCGAAGGACGCCACCACACCTGCAGTCGAAACGCTGTCATAAGGAGCCTTTCGGGGATGGACAGGCCCCCCTTTAGCAAAACGTGGTTTAGTGACAAAAAAAACGACCTGAGGCCCAAACCTGGCGGGCGCAAGCCTGGAAAACAACGGCCGCGGCGCCCTCTCGAGAACCGAAGACGGACAATTCACGAATCGACGTGTCACTGTTGGGGTTTCTGTCCACCCCCGAGTCACAAGGAGCCTTCCGTGAGGAAAGAGGCCCCTTTTCCTCCATAGGTGAAACTTCGATGTCCCACGGAAGAACTGAGGACAACCCAAGACAGGCTGCAAACACAGGGAAGGAGCACCGAGCACCAACGAAAAGGGTTCCTCATTCAGCGGCCCGACTGTACGGCCCGCCGTGTTGCATCGCTGCCACCTCGCCGCGCACTCATTCCGGCGATGCTTCGGTCTCCGTGATACCACGCCGCGGCTGCGGCGGGGCAGGTGCCTAAGCTTTCAGCGTCGCTGGGTCCTAGGTGGGGTGTTGTCGTTTGGCTTCTGATCCAGCCCCGACCAGTGCTCAGGGCGCAGCCGCCTCGAAACCCGAACCAACGACCGGCCATGCGCTTCCGGACGCGCACGCAGCCAGGACCGGGAATGGGCAGCCTTCCGGCCCTACTGCCCCTTTCTCCCCTGCCCTCCTCCTCCCTCGTCTTGCCCCCTCGTATGTTGAAGCGTGGCAGGATGGCAAGCTGCCAGATTCTGCCTGGCTGGGTTCCCGTGAGGCTTCTGAAGGACCTCGGGAATCCTTCGGGAACCCTGCGACACCCCCGAGAGTCCTCCCTAATGCTGGGGGATCCTTGGGCATCCTCTTGGTCCTGCGGGCGTCGACGCCCCGCTGCGCCCACAGCTCCGGCCCAGCGCGGCCTGCTGGCGTGCGCAGCCGCCCTGCAGCCAGGGAGCGGGGAAGGCGCGATGGCACGGCCGGTCGGGCCGCTCGCGGGACAGCCGAGGGTCCCCGGGGGGGGCGGGCGCCTCGTCCAGGAAGGCTCGGTGCGCCTCCAGGTCCTTCGCGTTCCTGGCCCGGCGAGCCGCGGCCGCGGGCCGCTGCGCGGGGCGGCCCCGGTGGGGATCTCCGAGGCAGGGGAGCCCACAGAAGACCTACGCGCCCGACCACTTACCTGAAAACCGGGCCCCCCCATCCGCGAGACCAGCCTCGCGATGCGAACGCTGGCGCAGTGCGCACTCCGGAAACCGACGTGGGCTCCTGTACGTGTGCGTCCTTCTCTCGCTTCTGACGGGAGTGGTGGAGTGCACTCGTGCTGCTGCTGGAACTCAGGGGAGCGTCTCTGGCACGAGGCCCTGGGCACGGGTACACCGATGGTGGGCCCCCGTCTGCACCGTATCCCGAGGGAGGGCGCAAAGCCGATCCAAGCCTCCCCGGGCAGCTTCATTGGAAGACGCGCGGGGCGCCGCGGTTGTTCTGGAAAGCTCGGGGCTCTCAGAGCAAGAAGCGCTGGACCCAGTTCCACCAGGCCCCACGATCCCCTTGGGCGTAGCTGGTTTGGCGGGCCAGTATTTCTAGTACATGCCCTGGTTCCGCTTAGGGGTGAGCTTGACGCCTTCCCCTGCGCGCGCCAGAATAATGAAGTCCCCCCTGGGCCTGGACGAGGGGGACCGCAAATTGCCAAAAGGTCCGGTTGGGCCCAGGATGGTTCCGACATTGCCCCCAACCACCCAAGATGACCTACAGTCGGGGCCTTGACCTAAGGAACCCTAAATAAGGAACGAGGCCCCTTTTTTCAATAAGTTAAACTTCGATTTCCTATCGAAAACATAAAGAAAACCTGAGGCAAGCTGTGAAACACTTAAGGAACGCGGAGCCCCTCCCCAACCAAAAGGGTTCCTCCTTCAGGGCCCCGACTGTACAACATCATGCAGTATAGCCAAGGGTGGCCCAGGATCGCCTCCGACATGTTTACAAGCGATACCAAGAAAGCGACTCGAGGTGGCCCGGGAGTCTCCCAAGGACGTCACCGAGGAACCACATTGACATAACCACATTTGGTTTTGATCTGAGATGAGTTGTGCCCTTAGTGGACCCTGGAAACGACAGGGCCGTTTTTGTTACCGGTTCCGTTTTGCCGTTTTTTTGTCGGTTCCGACGCCTTTTTTTACCGGCTCCGTCGCCGTTTTTCGACCGGTTCCGGCTCCGGTTCCAATCCTGGAGCCGTTTTTTTGCCGTTTCCGGTCGCCGTTTTTTTTGCAGTTTCCATTTTCAAGGGACATTTTTTTGGAAACGGTGAAAAAACCGCGCTGCCGTTTCCGGGGCCCGCAAAGGTTGTGCCTCCTTGGCTTTCTGTTCCCATGGGTTTCTGAGGCCTCGAGAAGGCCTCAAGACGTCGTCCAAGAGAGCCCTAATACTGCCCCAAGAGGCGAGATGTCGGGATCCCGGAGGGGCAACATGGATTTGGTCGATGGCCTCCCGGCCCCACGAGGACCCTAAAGGCTGCCACCAGGGCCCCCAGAGAGCCCCGTGAGGGCCCCAAAGACACCCCAAAGGGCCCACGCACTTCCTCCAAATAGTGATCCAGGAGGCCAGGTGATATGCTCAGGCTCATCCCAACTATGATGTGTGCTTCCTTTTGTCTTCCAATGGAACTCCAGTTCTCTTCTCGGGGCAATTCGCACATGCATCGTTCTGGTGAGGATCCGCAAAGCGTTAGAAATTAGAAATATGCATTCAATAGCTGCCTGGATGCAGGTGAATGGCGTGGCATGGACATGAGCTGCTATCTTAGCCAGCAGCCAGCCTGTACAGCCGTTCATCAGCGTCTTGTCACCGACAGTTGCGTCACTCGAACCAGGCAGTGCAATTCATTGCAGCTCAAAAAACGGCATACACAAGACGGCGGATTAAACACAGTGCACTGTGACGTAATGCAATGCATCACGGCTCACATGGCAACATGTACGATGCAAACACATACTGATCAATCAAAACCAATGTCATGCAATGCAAGCCAATGCACATATATGATAAGCAACCCAATGCTAACATAAACAACGCACTTCCTTGCCAAACTTCGTGCGCAGCAACGCAAAGCAAATACGCTTCACACCATTACGATGCAATGTGGAACTCAGCAAAGTAGGGCAACAAGGAAATCCCGGTGAAACCCCAGGGAACCATCCCTGTCAATCTACAGTGCAACATGCACGTCGCGGCAACGCTGCGCACTCGTCCACTACCTGAGTCATAATCCAATGCAAGATGCTTGCGGGTACACGCGCGCCATGCATCATGCTGACCACCCGCCGCTACTTTACGCTGGGTTTCGGCAACACATGTGGGAATGTCGACACGCTGCTCGATGCGTGCTGTCCCGTGCGTTGGCGCACGTGGGACACTCTGCGCGCGTTACGCAAGTAGTGCGGCTGCCCACTTGGCGCACGTGGAGCATCTGGTGCACTAGGCACCAAGTGCGTCCCGCACGCATGGACACCTGAGGCACCTGGCGCACCCTGTGAGCGTGGTGGACCTAGCACGCATGGCGAACCTCTGGCGTTGCGCCCCTGGCGCCTGTAGTGGCTCCAAACAGGCTGTCCATCCGACGGCTCCCTCTGCCTATGCTGAGTCTCGGGTGTTGCTTACGTGAGGGAAAGGCGGGCGGGAGTGAGCGTGACAACTTGTGGCGTTCCGGGCGCGAGCGGTCACAACATCTAAGCTGGTCCAATGTTGCTCCAAGAGGGCTTCAGATAGCCTAAGGTGGCGTCCGAAAGGACCCACTGCAACCCAACATGGCTCAGCATGCCTCCAAAATGTCACAAGACCGCCACAAAACGCCTCAAAGTGGCCATGAAACGTCCCACCGAGACCCCCACAGCGTTGCATTAGAGCGCCCCTAGAGGGCTCCAAGAAGCGACCTGTCGGGCTCCGATCTACCAGTGCCAATTCACGCCACCCACCCTGGACCGTGTTCCTCCTGTTGGGCTCGCCAGTGTCAATTGGAACACCCTAAGCAAAACATTGCTGGGGGACACATACCTTGGACATGCCGAGCATGCGGAATCATTTCCGCGCAGCAACAATATCGTTCCGCGCCTAGCTATAATCAAGCTCCTCCTGCTGCTCCTCCTCATCCGCTTTGAATTGCACCACCACCTTCTCAACATCCCTCTCAGGCTCTTAACATAACGAGTTCCCTCTCGTAGTGGTTGGCGTCATCCTCTTCCTCATTTCTCTTCATGCCCCTGCCCCTCCTACTCCAACCGCTTTCCCACATATTCCATGCCCTTCCCGCTGTTCTACTTTTGCTGTTGATATTCCCGACACTCGTCATTGACAACCCTGTGCCCTCTCTTCTCTCCGCCTTTGCCCTGCGACGCGATGGCATAACTACAGTTACAATTACCTGAACCACACGAGCTCAGGTTCTAGCAAGCAACCGGCCTTACGGTTCACAGTTCCACGCATGTGCGCACATATGCAACAGCCGTGGAATCCTTGTAATGCTTCCTAGTGGAAGTGAAATGCAATACGCACTATCGTGGTAAGCGGATGCAGCGACAACCCATCGAGACTTAAATTAACACGCATCAGTGCAAGGAACCGTTAGTAAGGCAATTGCAAGGACATGCAATGACATGTACACCCAGTTGCAGCTGAGCAATGTAAAGAAATACGTTGCGAGGCATCAGTGCGCAACACAAATACACTGCAAAACAGTGAGCTGCGATCGAGTGCAACAAAAACGATCGAAACCGACAACCCAGGGAATGTGGAGTTTGGATAACGCTGGGACGGGGAATCCGACGAACGAGCCTTGGGAACCTGGGCTGGATGCCGTAAGTGCCACCAGGTCCCCTGCACAGAGGAAGGGCTAGGGAAGGAAGGGAGGGAAGGAGGAGGGAGAAACGATGATACGGGCTGCAGCAGGGATGAGAGGCGCAGCGGAAGGAGAAACAGAGGGAGGATAAAAAGGAGGGCGGGGCGGAGGAGCAAGGGGGGGAGGCGAGAGGAGCTGGCAGGACAAATGCGGCACGATCGCGAAGGGAGGGATTACAAAGGAGGGACGAGGGAAGTAAGCTGCCCTCACGTGGCTCCCGTGAACTCGCGGGGCGGTATCTGAAGAACATGTTGGAACAGACCTCCTTAGAGGCTGCATCCGCTGGACGGCCTCTTGGGCCCTAGGGGCGGGCAGTCGAGGCCAAGCTGAGGACCCTGGGAGGGCCTCTCGAAACGGTCGCCACCCTCGCCATCGCTCGGACGTCCATTCCGTGTGCTTTCTTCGGTTTCGTGCGTGGTTTTTTCGCCAAATGATCAAGGATACTCCTCGATGGTCCTCGCCGAGGAAAAAACGCACACGTCCGAGCGATGCCGAGCACATGTCCGAACCGCCTGAGGAAGAATATTCGGCCGCAGGGGAGGCGTGGGGGGCGGAGCTCGCCAACGCGCCCCTGGGGCCTCCGGAGCCTCCAAAGAAGCCCCAAGTCAGCCCCAGAGGGCCCACACAGAGTGCAAAGACAGACCAGGAGAGCGTCGAATCATCGCAGGGTAGCCCCACGACGGTCGGATATAGCTTCAAGACGGCCAACGAGGTCTCCAAAACGGCCCAAGAGCGCTTCCGGAGGACAGCCGAGAGGGTCCCAATAATAAGCAATCATCGCATTCCTCGAAAGGAAACGTATTTGACAGAGTCTTTGCCAGCGGCCAAGACGGCCCAAGGGCCCCCAAAGATCGTCCCAACACGGTTCATGAGGTCCCCAGGAACGCCCCAAGACGGCCTAAGAGGGCTCCAAGACGGCACCAGGGGCCCTAAGACGGCCGAAGAAGGCCCCAAGAGGTGCCCAATAGGGCCCAAGAGGGGAAGCACAAACTTACAATTCGAGCTTTTCCACCTAAGATGGCTTCGAGAGCCCCCCAGAGGCCCCCGAGGCGTCCCCACCCGGAGGCCCCAAAGATGCCCCCAGCAGTCGCCCAGGAGGCCCCCAAGAGGCCACCAGGAGCCACCCAGATGCTCCCAAGACCGCTCTACGAGGCCCGTCAAAGGCACCTCGCGAACCACATGTTGGAAT